CTTGGCTGGCCACTTTCAAGCTCCTCCTCTTCACTTTCAATCACAGCCCACTTCTGGGGTCGTCGATGGCGTGGGAGATGGCGTCGTCTTCTGTTAAATGATTCTAGGGTTGGATTAATGGAAGCCGAAGGGAGATGGGTTTTTGTTAGATGAGGGTTAAAATGGTAATTTACTGTTATTCAAAGAACAGTTACCAAACAACATTATTTTATTCAGCACTTAACTATTCTGACCCTCTTAACCATTTTGACCTCTTAACTATTATGTAGTAAATCATTCAGCAACTGCCAAACAGCCCCTAAGAGACTCTCATGATATAATGCAAAATGAAATATAATTGTTTACAATGAAATTAAGGCGCTAAATGATTAAGGAGACCCAAGATACAAAATCATTCAGAAGGTTTTAGAACCATTGAGAGACAGATTTTTTTGTCAAACAAGATTCACCTCTTAACGATTCAAATGCTGTCTCTTAATGGAACTATTAACAGGTAAACAAACAACCCCTAATAGCAATATCGTTCTCTCCTCCACAAGTTCTGATTTTGACTGACAAGTTCGAATTTTTCCACAGATTTTGATTTCTTCCTACCTAGTTGATAACACAAGTTCAAGTTTCGATCTTGGCTCAACAGGATACCACTTTGGATTTTTTTTTTCCTACCTATGTTACCGTTTTCGATTCTTCCTACGTATGTTATTGTTTTTAGCTTTTGATGTTACTGTAATGAACTTTTATGTTTCCAATCTTGATTTTACATTGTTTAAACACAATCCGACCAACCCGATCAACTCGAACAGGTTGGATTGGGTTCAAAAAATTTCAAACCGACAATATTAGGTTGAGTTGTTAAAATACTTTTAACCCGATTAACCTAACCCATGAAAACCCGTACTTGACTTTTTAACATGCTTAACTCAGCATACATAACTCAACATGCATACATCAAACGATTATCTGTAACATGTTTAGCATGCTTTGAAAGATGTAAACACATAAAAGCATGTTCTTTCATATTTAAAATATTGCACAATTATGAACACATAATCTATACTATATTATAAAGCATTTGACAAAAACTCTTAAAAACCATTTTTTATGCATGAAGTACTGTTTATTGATGTATATTACTTGAAATTCAAGATTACAAGTGATTTTGCGTAATGACCACTTATTAAAGCTTAATTTTTAAATTCATATAACGAACTGTAGATAAACATAATCAAAGACAGAATAAACATCTATTTTAAACATAAAAAATCTAAAATATAATTAAGATAATCATTAAGTTTCTAACTGAATGCTTAATTATTATCTTTAATAAAAATTATATTATTAAATCAAAAACAAATTACTTTGTTATTAGACCTAAATTAAGTTACGATAAAAAATTGAATTACAGAAGTTACTCTAAAAAAAACGAGAACTATTAAATAGTTAGTTTAATACTAATATCGATTTTATTTTATTTTTTTTAATTTTTTATGCAATCTTCAAATTTATATTTCATTCAAAAATAAAAACATTATCGTTTCCTCAAAACCATATAAAATCGTATTACATCGATAGATAATAAAACTAAACATTAAAATGAATATTTATCTCGCTGCATTGCGCGAGTACCTTTCTAATATATATATATATATATATATGTATGTGTGTGTGTATGTATGTGTGTGTGTGAGAGAGAGAGAGAGAGAGAGAAATCACGTCAAAAATACTTGCATACTAAAATACTGCATTTCATTTTACTTGGAAAATATGTTTTCAATTAGTATGAGATCGGTTGACATTGACGTGTTATGCAACATGTAATCTAGAATGACAACTTGACATCTACATCATCAATGGTTATAAAATTTGCCAATTAAGAGTCAAAAGATTTGATTGCTTATTTTACTAACCGGAAAAAAATATTATTACATTAAATAAAAACTAAAATAGATTTCTCCTACAATTTTGATTTCGAGTTGCTCCTTGCACGACCACATCGTCAATCCGACCATCCATCTTCGCCCTTCGTCATTCATCATCTTCTCTTTGTCCACAATCATGCCATCAGCCCGACTTTGGGCCGACCCGCACGGCCGCACCCGCTCCACGACCACTCATTTCCGTCAATGTCAAAACCCAAAATATGTGTCGTCATCACAATCATGGGTCTCGTATTCGTATTTTGGAGCAATGTTGATACCTACTATCAGACACTGTCGTACTATTCACAAATACCAAAATGGTGGGGTTCAGGTTGGAGTCAATCGGTGTAAATTTCGGAATCGGTTGTTTGATTGGACATGCTCTTAGACAGTAGCAGACTCCGGATTTTGGCTGCACAGGTGAACCTTTAAGGTGAATCAAAGGTCTGTAAAGTCATTTGATGTTTTTTTATCTGAATTTCATCGTTCCAATGGATTTTTTTTTTTTAAGTTTTTGGACCATAACAGGTCCGCACCTGCTTAGAGCTTCATGATTATAACTACTTTTGGCCATGTATGGCAAAATAAGCCAACTTATTTATTGATCTTAATGAAAAAGCTAGGTTTAGTTTGTCGGAATCTACCAACTAGTTCAATGGTTTTTGACTTTTTTCCAATTATGCCCCTTGTATGTTAACAATTACGCATTTTTTAGACCGTTTGCCTTTTAATATGGAACGAATTGTATATAACCTTAATAACATGGCACGCCGTGTTTTGTAAATGTAGAACCCGGTGACACGGTTGCATATCAAAAGCAACAACATGAAATCAATGTTGGTGAGTTACACACCCGTTGTTTGCAGACGGTTGCCATTGGGTCCTTAAAAAGGCGAGCGGATAACACCTATACAGAAACCATCTTCAAAAACCGACATCATTGTGATCATAAAGTAACGACACTTGTGAGCGAACACATGTAACCAAAACCCGTACGAGATTTCAAGCTTAATTTAATGCAACAAAATGATGACCATAGATTTGGTATAATTCTCAAAGGCAATAACACCATTTAATCTCCATTTAAGACAACATATGTCAGCAATTAACATGTGATTTCAAATGAAAATTCCAAAAGCAATGAAAGTGAGTCAACTCAGACAAAGAGATTAGGCCTTGAAGCCTTGTATGTGGTCTTGAGCTTTCTAGTTGGAGGTCTAACCTTCTTGAAGACCAATGGGAACTTGATTTTAGAGTTGTGGAATTGCTTTGTAGACTCTCTTTTGCAAAGCTTTGCTGGAATGGTTGCTGTCTTGATGACTTGGATGCAATGGTGACGCACCCTGTGACGAGAAGCCATCTCCGTGTACATCTGCTCGACTGCACCGTTTAGGGTTGTGTCCCTGTACTCCTTGTACATGTTGTGATACCCAGTCCTCGATTGATATCTCAGCCAAATCCCGTAGTTCTTGATTGTTGTCGGGTTTTTCTCAAAAATCTGTACAAGTATAATAACAAATTAAGATAAGACACATTTGGGAAAACAAAGTAGAAATGGTTGCATCATTAACATTAGAAATAAGATGCAATCAGACATACAAGGTGCTGATCATATATCACAAACAAAAACAACCCAATTGATGGGTTTTCAAGAAAACCTATATACATTCAAAAGAATAATGATAATTTCCAACTTCCCAACTGGATTTGTAGTGATAAAAGTAACTTAATATCAAGCCTGTTCAAGCTGAAAGTACAATACAAGTTCCCAAAGCTCATCGAGTTACAGAATTTTAAGCTATTAATGGTGCTTTTGGTAGGTGTATAGGAACGGACTGGACTAGCGAGAGTGAATTAGGTGTGTGAAAGAATTGTGGAAGCTTTACAGGTTTTAGGGCATGTTTGTTAGCAGCTTAATGAGCTTAATGGCACTAGCAACTTATTCGGTCAGCTATACATGAGTGTTTCATAGTGGCTTAATAAAGTAAAAAGTGACTTATACATATAGCTTCTAGGAGGAGCTTTATGCAGAAAGCCAAATATTTTCCAAACCTCCTCCATCTATGAAAAAAGAAAACCTTCCCAATCTAGACAAACAGCTTTATCCATACAGGACTTGATGGAAAACCAACCAAACATCCCTTTAATCTGACATTGATAATTTAGTAATTTACCTAAATTGTCTGATCTCCCTACCTTTGTTCCACCTATTTTTGTGGGACAAAAATCGATCCTGTCATGTCCCAAACCAGTTATCACTCAAATGTGAGACAAGAAACTTGTTGGTTCTTTCTTGACTCAATTACCAAACACACCCTAAGTGTTTATTCGCAGTTCAAAAGGTGTCGGTACAATTTTACATTCTCAATATCTTAACCCTATTGGAATTTTAGGCAGCATACAAGTTTTAATACACATCATCAATCATTTCCCCTCCAACATATTGCAAAATACTGATAACTAGTTTTTGGAAGATGCACATTAGAAGTTAAGCATGATTTACCGCATATGAAAGAGGAATGTTAACCCATGAAGATATACACACAATTTAATTAATAAGTTAACACATAGAACTTCATCACACTTACCATTTATCTCATCTTATAATGATGATGATTATAAGATGTCTATTGGATTTTATAGTTGAACTGTAAATAAAAGGATTCAATCTAACTACCTAGCTTATGAGGCTCTCAAATCAGATAGAACTCAAACAACCAAGTAATCCTGAAGCATGAATGCATGATCACATTTTATTACACACAGATTAGCAAACCCAGAGCCCAAAATGTTACCATACATTCGAATTGCCTAGAAAACAGAATGCTAGTATAAAAGAACAGATCATAGGATAAATGATCTCTCCAGAAAAGTTATCAAAAACGAAAAGAGGTATATAATAGAAACTCGTAACTACATTTGAATCTCTAAGATATATAACACAAATAAGATGAATCTGCGGGATTTACCTCATTAATGGCAAGCATCTGACCATTGCTCTTCTTTACCTTCTTTAGCTTCCTCAAGAAGTACCTAATTTCCAGCATCATACAAAAATCAATCCATGTGTTTCGCATAACAAGTAATTCGCACGATCCCGTGTGAAACAATTTATTTGACGTTACTAATACGTACCAGAACTTGCTCTTAGCACGGACTTCATTTGTGGCCCAAAGCTTCATACGGTAGATCTTCGGATGCTCATCTGTCTCCGTAGGTAGGGCTCTGCCTACAACCTGAAACTGATGGAACTGCAACGAACACAAGAAACAAACAAACAATCAATCAATCAATCGCCCACATTGCGAAACTCTTACCATACAACATCGCAACCGTGAAAGCCTCGTAATTTACAGGATCATTAACCGATAATAATGAAAATAAAGATTCAGCTTGAAATTTCCATTGAGAACACCTACTTTGTAGCTCATTTCCAGAAGCTGCTGCTGCTGCTGCTCTCTATCGATCCTCGCACAATTACAGTGCGTGTTGCGTTTGAGGCGCTGAAGAATGTTGAATCTAGGGTTTAAACTTCTTACATATACGATACGAGGGTAGAAGGCCCATTTGATGGCAATGCTGATCGTGGACCGGCCCATTTCAACTGTTTATCAATCTATACTATATTATAAAGAATTTGGCTAAAACTCTTAAAAACTCTTAAACTCTTAAAA